TATTTTACATTCTTCCATTCTAAAAATGGACTGGATTTCACTTTTATGTTCTTCTCTTTATTTAGATAGCACTAAGAAAGTTCAGATATGACAAAATGCAGCTTGGAACAGATACTTGTTCATTCTAGAGTGAGAGTGTGATCAGTTAATAAACTTCAAAAAATTGAGAATTACAACAGAAATCACATCTTATACTTCTTAGGCATAACATTAAAAATTTCATTTACAATGCCATTAGTAAACTTAAGGATCACAGCAAAATAAAAGGGAGTCTGCTATGCGTATATTATCTTGAAGAAATGCTTAATTATTAGAATTCTATATTTCACGTTGAAATAGAAGAGATAAAACTGAGAAGCACACCCCAGATTAGGCAATAGTTCTGATTTACTTATGGTTGTAAAGTTAAGCTTTCTAAGGTTTTCTAGACTATATGAAAATCTTATTTGAATCTTATCACTGTCTCAAATGCTCAAGGAACTGATTCAGAGAAAATAAGGGTCAGTTGATTGACAAGCTAATTTACTATGGAAAAACTGATCATTCAGTGGGATGCCCTGTGACCACCACTGATTTTACTTCCCTTTTTGATCTTAGTGTTTTTATAATATTATTCAATATTGAAAATTTCCATGTAATTTACATTGAATAAGCAAGTTATTTGTAGTCTCTTTGTTCTCTAAATATTCTAAGACTTGTTTTAATAGGATGTGTATTTTTTAAAGATTAAGTTTGAGAATATTGTTCTGGGCAAGATTTATTTTAAAAAGTCTTTTTACTACATTAAAGTATGATGTACAGTACACCAAATATAATGTAATCTGACCAAGACTGTATTCTTGTTAAGTGTTATTTGGAAAAAAAGATAAATTTTTTTTTGCTTGTGAAAATTGTGTATATTGACTTCTAATTAGACACACTGGGACTTTGGTATAATGCCAAAGTCAGGTCCATGACATAGGGTCACCGTAAAGGAGAAACTTCCTTTTAAGAACATCCATTTAGTTTTTAAAAAAAACAAAAACAAAGGAAAGTCTCTGTACCTAATTCACTGCAGAGGATATATGTTTCAGAGCAAATCACATATATATGTGCATAGCCACTTGTGAGTTGCAAAGTACACTATTAAATAAGAAAATAAATTTTTTTTTTGTAGATTTCTAGGCTGGTTTTAAGGTCATGAATCAGATGCTTTCTCATTTATTAATTCAATGCAAATGTTAAGCTTCCCTGAATAATTACAGAATTATAGAGTCAGAGTGAAGATACCTTTAAAAAAAAAACAGGAGACGAAGGGAACACAACCAGTGAATGAATTACTATGGGATTTTTAAAAAAGCAGATAGCTATTTCAGAATTAGCAAAGGCACTACATGGTTTTTGACAAAATAGCAAGAAGGAAGTCTAGCCAAAAACAAAACAAAACAAAAAAACCCAGAACCATCAATAAAGTGATCAAGTCAATGTTTATCATGAATTTTTGTTATGATGTTCTGTAGAAGCTTAGCTTACTGAAGTTAGTTACTGCCCAGGATGTTATTAATAATAAGATTTGCTTTTGAGAATTGGTTTAATGTACAGTCATCTTATTGAGTTGTCTGGTATAACAACATAAAAATCATTTCTAACATACACATACTTCCTTTCACTGCTAAATACACCTTAAAAGGTTTGTTACTTTAGGAAACAGCATTACCAGAGAATAAAAACCTGCAAAAAGTTGACCACTTTAAATAAGCAATAGAACTTCTTGGAGAACAAATCTCACTTACAGTTAGGAAACAATATTTATATTTAAAGTTGAAAAGCCAGGTTGTATAAAAATTTCACTAATTTGGAAGGTGACCTTTAAGTGCACCAAAACCAAATAATTTGTAGGCTATGACACAGGGCACATTCCTACAAAATTTGTGTGACTACTGCTTTAGTGGCTCTTGAAAGACAAACAAAGAAACCTGGAATGAAATCTTTATCCCCTCCCCAAAAAGATTGAGGCTAACAAAGGAGTACAGCAGTACTTTCAGAGCTTGCCATTAAAATGAGGGCTCTGTGGCACAGTTAATGAGATGGTTCATAGTGGAAAACAATCTGTTTTTAAGAATGTTTAGATCAAAAGTAATTTCTAATCTATGAAATAAAGTCTCTTCAATACCCTTCATTCGCTAGTAAAGCTTTTAATGTTTGCATTATTTACTTCAATCAGATGTTTTCAATTTTACCTTTTTTTCCTCTTAGAAATACTTGACATGGTTAGTCAATAGTGACCAACAGTATTATTCTTTTTCTAAAAAAAAAAAAGAGAACGAAAGAAAGAAAGAAAGAAAGAAAGAAAGAAAGAAAGAAAGATCTTTGCCTAAATGATTTGCAAGCATCTGTGCTTTAAGCTACTTTTTATGAACACTCCTTAGTAATGACTCAAGGTAAAAAAGCAGAAAAGCATCCAATGTTAGGAAATTGCAATCCAATACCATGTAATTTAAACCTGCAGTTGCTTCTCTTGTACTAAATGACATACAGATGGGTAGCTTGGTTCCCTCAACTTTGGGAACACAATTGGTCTTTTTATATGAATGAATATATATTAACAACAAAAATATTTTAGACAGAATTGTTTAATTGAATTGTACAAATTTTAATTACCTGAGCCATTAGAAAGGAATAATTTTAAACAAGGCGTTTTGTCATCTTAAATTTGGAAAATGAATTTCTTTGACAAAATGAACAAAGACAGAACACTTTTGATTAAAAAAAATAGTTATGCAATGACCTTTAAGCCTGCAACAATGAATAGAAACTCACACTCCTTTAACAGTGTTCAGCAGGTTACAGAAAGTAATAAGATGTATTAAATTTACCTTGATGGATTGATTAATTCTGAGCTGGGTGAGAGAGGGAGAGAATGTAGCCTCTATCTCTTAGATAATTCAGATAGTTTACTCATTTGGTGTACTGATAAAGACTTAAATATTTTGGGATCTAGTGATGTGAGGTACTCAACCAAAAAGGCAGTGAAGATGGGCTTGTTAAATTTGTGTATAGTTATCTACATTGGCTTCTTTTGGGAGGTCAATGGAGGTCCAAGTTTGAGAGCCTGCAGGGTACATTCCAAAGTGTGTATATCTAGTTTTTGCTTGGTATTTTTCTCCATTCATATTTTTTTTCAAACAGTTGAATTAGTCACTGTATTTTTATTGCCTTGGCTACAGATGCTAGTGTTCTATTTATGCCATCAATCAGGAGGGCTGGTTAGCTAATTTTTCACGGGTTTATTTCATTGGGCCCACATGCTGTGAAACGAGATGCTTTGCAAAGTTAAGAGACTAAGCATTATGAGTTTTGGTTTTTTTCCTAACTCAGAGTTTTTTCTATCACAAAAGAAATTGGGTGACATAATGATCAGGACACTTAAGTTAACTTTCAGTAACTTAAAAACAACAATTTTTTTTTTTTTTTACATTTTGGACCATCTGCAAGTCTCTCTCCATTGTGATGGATGGCAAAGAAAAGCAATTTCATTGTAACAAGTAATCGTTGTGCTTCATTGGAGTTATATTTCTTTTCAATCATGTGTATAGGTAAAATAAAATAAGGCATAGAAAGAGATGATGTAAAGAGATGTTGTCTGAACATTTTATCACAGACTATGTGAGTTTGAAAGAAAAGCTGCTATTGCGATTATGTCTGCATAAAATTATATCAGCATTCAAATGCACTTTAATCACAGCGGTCTGTCTAGATCAGGGGTTCTTAACCTTTCTTCGTGCCATGGTGAAACCTATCAACCTCTTCTCAGGATGCTGTTTTAAAATATGTAACATAAAAAAATAGGATTGCAAAGGAAACCAATTATATTGAAATACAGTCATTAAAATATTTTTTAAAAAATGTTCACTGACCCTAGGCTAAGGACCTCTGCTCTACATGTAGTTGCAAAAGGAAATGGTAGACTTCTGAAGAAATAGTGCTCTTTATCCTTCTTGTTCCCCCTAGCATTTTCTTTTGCTTCTCTAGAAGCTGGATAATTAAAAAAAATTAATAAGCAGTTATTAAACACCTACTATGCACCAGTCCCTATGTTAAGTGCTTTACAAATATCTCATTTTACCCTCACAACAACCCTGGGAGATAGGCGCTAATAGGATCATAGCAAGTGACATGTTGTGTAGGCTCTTGACAATTTGTATCTTGCTCTGACCACTTAAGGAGACATCTCTCTTACTCATTTGTTTTCAAAGTCAGCGTAACCTATTGTAGTGACCGGATAGAATGACTGAGAACAATAACTTGGTAGTAAATGGAAACTATATCTGTAGGCATAAGGAAAAAAAAAAACCAACAACAACAATATGGTGGTAGTTGAATCGCTCAGGGTAGAAATTTAATAATTTTCAATTTTAAGCCATACTGCAAGGTTGGGAAATCGCTGCTTTTGCCAGGTGGAAGGTTTAATTTGCTAGGCCGCCATTTGGAAATACAATGGAAAGAACACTGGCTGTGGGATCAGAGGGCCTGGGTTCAAATCCTATCCCTGATATCCTCCCTGTGTGACAGAGACACCTCAGGGACGTCACAATTTGCCAATATTCGACCTATGATCATAAGCCCATTACCCTGTATGTACAGTATGTTAAAAACATTTTCAAAAAAATTTTTTTTAAATGATGTGTGTGGGGGAGGGAGGGGGGTCAGTTTGAGAGGGTGGCCGCTGCCATCAAATGAATAGTTATCTCAAAAAAATCTGGTATCCCATCCAGTAGGCTTTGGCTGAAGCACTTTGTCCCTGCTCCAATGGAATCACCTGGCTCTTGAGCAGCATTCTTTTAAGACTCCGACTTGCTGAAATAATCAAGTGCAGTTCAGCTGAACCATTCTTATGCATTAGGGACCGGTCTGGTCATTGACAAGTGAATGCAGAAGCTTTGCTGTGGCCGTGGGCCAAAGCAATTATTCAGGATTTAACCTAAAAAGGCTCCTTCTCCCATATCCTCTCTATTTTCTAGGGTCATGCAGGGATAGAAAGAACTGTAAGGTGGTCTTTTCCCAGCAGGAACTTAGGAAGCGACTGACACCCTTGCAGTACCATGTCACTCAGGAGAAAGGAACTGAGAGGTGAGCCGACAGACCCTCTCTCTCCCCGCCCTGCCCCCCCTCATAACTCCCCGCTTCCTTGTCTTCCTCACTGACTGTTATCAAGAATTCTGCACATTTGCTAACCTCTACATCTTAATATCACTGAAAAGACAGAAATTATGCTGGAAAAGTCTGTGGTGTGTTTTATTTATCCCCCCCCCCCCCTTTGGCTAATGAATACTATTACATCTTCTCCCTAAAGTCACAGCACTTTTGTTAAGGACTTGCCTTTCATTTACTATGAAATGCATGTAAGTCAGGGCGATTTAGGTGGATTTGGCGGGGGAGGGAGGAAAGCATCACATTAAGCAAAAACTTGAGGAACAACAGCCCTGCACCAGGATGATGAAATTTTGAAGGTGGCCATTGTAAGTATAGACATTTTGGCTGCAAAAAGAAAGTAGCATAATTTAGTTCCTTTCCACCCCACTCCAATTTCTTTTTGAAGCACATGTGGAGAAAGTATTTATTGGCTCATTTGTGGTTGGAATGTCAAAAATTTTCAATAACTGCCCTCACATGGCTTTAGTCCTTGGAAGTTCGCCCTACATCCTGAAAAAAAAGAGTGTGTTCCCTTTCAAGACTGTTTTTAGTGAATAAGGTCTCTCTCAGCTGATTACAGCTCAAAGGTAAACTTGCCAAGGTCTAACCATTTTGTTGTCTAATTTATACCATGGAGCTTGGCACAAGGCCCTAACTTACCTCTGATCCAGATTTATTAATGATGTAACTGCTTGTTTCTATTCAAGACCTGAAAGGGCTCTTTACCACACATGGGGTACTCGTTAATAGGCAACAACTCTCTTCCTGTCACAGTATATACTATTTACTGAATTGACCAAATGTTGAATCTCTGGCAAAGTCCATTCTGTCACCCAAATTAGCTGGCAGTGGACCTTGGTCTCAGCTTAGGAGTTCTACCCAGATCATGGCTGTTGTGTACATGACTAGCAAATGATTTAATGCCCACAAACAACCAGAGATTAGGTCATTCTTAAAAATTCTGTTTATAAAAAAAATTGGACCTCATAAAGAGGGTGAAGGTATAATAAAAACAAGCTGTAGCACACATAGACTTTTTGTTGGACTAGCACAGCTGATTTGTATTAACTGAATGACCTCCTAGCCTTTAAGATTGTTAACTTAGAAAAATATTCCCTTAAAGCTGCAATATTCCTCCTCAAACCAAAAAATAAGGCTCCTCCAATTTGGAGTCTTGGCCTCAGCTTCATTTTCTGACAGTTACTTCTGGAAGGGACACTTCAGAGATTCCAAAAACTTAGCCTTGGTTGAGTAAGACAATGCTCAATTTAAAGTATAGCCATTAAAAAAAAAGACCATTTTTGAAAAGGAAAAGACTTTTTCTGTGAATTACTTAACTAGAGAATTTGACTGCAAACCTGTGCTCTTTTGATGTGTTTCTATGCCTGTTCCCTTCTACAGAAAAAATTAAAATAAATTTGTGATATTCCAGTTTTTATGTTATTAATTCTTCATTTTGGGATGAGTCTATTCTCATGGATTTTGAAAGAGTTTCACTAGAGAAAGTGGCTCCAGCCTCATAACTTTATGAGAAAGATGTTACCTTATTTGTCCTTCAAATGCTTTTTTGTTTGTTTGTTTGTTTGCTTCTCAGTGCCTTTGAAGGAAAATATACAAGTCATAAAGATCATGGAATGTACAAATGTGTTGTATGCGGGACTCCTTTATTCAAGTAAGTAAAAGAGTACAAATACAGCTTTTGAACACTGGGGATCTGTATGTGACTGTGCTAAACCCAATGGCTTATAATCACATCAGAGTGTGTGCAGTAACCTTGCATTGTCTTAAGAGTGAACATTTTCTTTTTTAGAAAATAGAAATAATTTGGAATTTTGTGAGTTGTGATAAAATTACTAAGTTGTCAAAGCAGCTGATTTTCAAAAGGTCATCTGTGGATTTCTAGGTGGGAATACACGTTGGGTGGTGCACAGACATGTAGAGCTGACTTGTCCTGGCTCCTCACCAGAGCTGATTGTTAAATTGCCTTGGAAACTGGCAAATGCTACAAATCAGGGCTTGATTTATTTTTTCTTAATTGTCTAGCCTTAAGAAAATGATGGAGGAAATATTAATAATAAATTAAATTTATTAATTAAATTTAAAAGTATATCATGTATACTTAAAAATTTTTTTTGGAGAACTGGATGTTAAACACTTACCAGCACACATGGTGTGTGTGCACATGGTACACATGGAATATGTACCAAATAGATGTTTTTTAGACCACGATAGCACAGTTAGGTGGATTTGTAGATTGTTGAACAACCAAACCTAAAGAATGTTGATTTATGAATCAGGGCAACCTAGATGAAGTCCTGTAGGGTCATGACTTAGATCTCTCTTCTCATCTCCATCCTGTTAAAGATTTGTATCATCACATCTCTGAAGACACGGCTAGCATGCTGATCAAATTTGCAGATGACACATAGCTGGGAAGATTATATTGGATAAGTTAAACTTAGATCTGAGAGGATTTCAACGGCCTGAAAATCCAAACTGAATACAGCAAGGTCAAATTTAAGAGGGACAAATGTAATGTCTTGTCCGTAGGTTCAAAAAACACAGAAGGGCAGAACAAGGGAGATGTGGTTCAGCTTTCAAAAGGAGGTAGAGGTTTAATTGACTCCAAGATCAGTATGAGGTAGCGGTGTGTTGTGACTGTCAGAGTAGTGAATGTTATTTTAGCTACCATTAATAGAAGCTGCGTGTCCAGAATATGAGAGATGATAGTTTCACTGATCTTTAGGCTGGTCACGCCATAACTGGATTGTTGCATTCAGTTTTGATGATCACATTTTAAGAAGCACACTGACAAGACCCAATGACATTTAATAAGAAAGAGGGTAGGGGCAGCTAGGTGGCACAGTGGATAGAGCACTGGCCCTGAAGTCAGGAGGGCCTGAGTTCAAATCCGGCCTCAGACCAAACACTTGACGCTTACTAGCTGCGTGACCTTGGGCAAGTCACTTAACCCCAATTGCCTTAAAAAAAACGAGGGTGAATGGGACAGTGAGAGACTCGAAACCATAATCATATGATGACTAGGTGAGAGAACTGGAGATGTTTAGTTTGGAAAAGGGAATTGTGGAGAGATTTGAAAACTGCCTTAAGATATTTAGAGAACTATTTGTTTGGAAGAGGGATTAGATTTGTTTTTGTGGAGCTCCAAAAAACAAGTTGCACAAATGGGCAGAATTTATAGGAAGGGAAATTTCAGCTCTTTATGAAGAATTCTATAATAATCAGGGATGTACAGAAGAAGAATGGTCTAGAAGGGACCTCGCAGGCCCTCTGGTTCAGCCTGTTCATTTTACAGAGGATGAAACTGGAGTCTGTGGAAGTTAAGTGTCTTGCCCAAGATTATAGAGATAGTAAACATCACGGGTGAGATTTGAACCCAGGTCCTCCCCTGTTCAGGGCCAATGCTGTTTCCACTGGCTGCCATATTACCTTCCTAAATAAGATATTGAGTTCCTTGCCTAATGGAGTATAAGTTACCCATCACTGAAAGTGTTCATGAAGAAGCTCTGTAACTCTGTTAAGTAATGTTGTGGACAGGATGCTTTTGTAGAGAAGACTATAAGGGTCCTTCTTCAGTTTTTGAAAGGACAAAGCACTCTTTACAGAGCACAGTAGGTAGGCATGAAGGAGTGTCTGACTCAAATCCACCTTCAGAATGTTCTTGTGAAATTCATCAAGAATTTATTTGTCCAAGTTGAAGAAATATACCTCAAATGCCATAAATCAGTTCTGGAAGCCCTTTTTTTTTCTGCTGAACAGACTTTAAGAAAGATAAAGAAACAATATTAATCTAAATTATTTTCACTTCAAAAGAGATTTTTGAGCTACTTTGATACTCAAGTGGTTCTGTGATCTTAACAATGTAGCTATTGCCTCTCGTGATGCTGATTTTAATTTGTTTACATTTTTTTCATCCTGTATGACTTCTATTTTAATGACCAGATTTGATGGTCTTTTCCCAGTCCTTATTCTTCTTGACTTGTCTGTTGCATTTGACACTGTTAACAACCCTCTCCTCCTGGATACCTTTTCCTCTCTGGTTCTCCTGGTTCTCCTCCTTTCCGTTTGCTTCTCAGTTTCCTTCACTGGCGCATCATCCATATCATGCTCTGTAACTGTGAATGTTTCACAAGGTTCTGATCTTAACCCTCTTGTTTTCTACCTCAAAAATGCTTTCTTGGTAACTTCATTACCTCCCATAGCTTTAACTATGTTCTCTATTTAGATGACTTCCAGGTCTATATATTCAGGCCCAGTCTCTCTCCTAAGCTTCAGTACCATATCACTAACTGCCTATTAGGAATTTAAAATTGGATGACTTGGAGACATCTTACACTCATCGTGTCTAAAACTGAATTAATTATCTTTCCTCCTAAAACTCTCACTTTTTCTAAACTTCCCTATTTCTAGAAAAGGCACCACCGTACTTGCAGTCTCCCACAATGTAACCTTGGCATTATTCTGGACTCCTCATCCTCCTTCACCCATCTATATAATCATCGGCCAAATCTTGTCATTTCTGTCTTCACGTATCTCTCATATCTGACCCCTTCAGTCTACTCCCACAACTAGCATCTTAATTCAGGCTCTCATCACCTCTCATGTAGGTTATTAAGACAGCCTTCGTATTAGTCTTCCTGCCTCATTTCTCCTCACTCTCGTCCATTCTACACATTACTGCTAAGAAACTCTCCTGAAGTATATATCTGCCTATATGACTCCTCTGCCTAACCAACTTAAGTAGCTTCCTATTATTTCCACAATCAAATAGAAACTTTTCTGTTCAGTTTTTAAAGCCCTGTGCAACTGGTATCAGCCCATCTTGCCAGACTCATTAGACATTGCTCTCCCTCCTGCACTTTATCTACCTTCCTTTGGGCAGAGCACCCTGAGGTGAGGTGAGGTCAAGCAAAGAGAGGAGAGGAGAGGGGAGGAATTGCTCAATTGGAACTGGCCAGTTGGATCCCCAGTGGGGCCAGGTAAGCTTTTCTCAGACAGACTTTTCTCTCTTCTTCATAAGTACTCCATCTTTCATTTTTGTACCTTTTCATTGGCCATTCTCCATGACTGTAACATGCTATTTCCTTGCCTCCACATCTCACAGTCTCTTTTTCCCTTTAAGATGTGGCTCATGCACCATCTTTTTCAGGAAACTTTTTCCAGATTCCTCCAACTAGTAGTGCCCTAGCAGTATTTACTTATTTTGTATATTGTTGTATTTATTCACTTTGTCTTTATGTTTTATGTCTATATCTATGCATTTAAAATATCTATTTGTTTTCTTCTTCCTTGGAAGGTAAGCTCTTTGTGAGTAGGGATTGTTTTGTTCTTTGTACTTGTATCCCAAGTGCCTAGCACAGTTACTAACACCTAATAGGTATTCAGTAAATGCTTGTTGATTTTTCTACGTCCTCCCATAAATCTTCCACAAAAGTCCACCCATCTTCTAGGGTCTTCTATATCTCTTGAGATTACAGGGCTAAGAACTATATAACACATGCTGGACCAGAAGTGTGAAACACGTGGTTTGTGGGCCATCATGTGGTTTTCTAAGTCAATATATGGCTCACTGGGATCCTTACATGTGGTTAGTCCCTCCCTCCTTCCTTCCCTTTCCCTCCCTCCATCCAGTTTGACACCACTGCTCCAACAATAGGTATTCTTCATCCATTTAGTTTTTCTCGTGTGGATAGTTAGATTGAACTCTTTGGAGTGATTGTGAATCTCATTTAGGGGGTTTTGCAGATTTCTAGAGCTTGACAAAATCAGTCCAAACAGGAACATCTGGAGGATCTAATTAAATAAAGGAAATCTCTCTTCCCTTTGAACTTTGTGCTGGATATCCTCTATGACTATGGCAAGCACCTTGGATGAACATATGTTTCAGTGTTCCCTGATTCATAACTCACATGATATTATAATCAAGAGATCATCTTTAATGAATAAGAAAATAATATCTTTTGCATGTAAAACTTTATTAAAATATCACTACATGTATTTTGTCTTTCAAAACACTGCCATTTCCTACATTTAAAAAAAATGAATCAAAATTAGTTTCCTGAAAGAGAATTTTAAAAGTACAAAAACTCTTTTAACCATGAAATTTATTATACATAAATGTTGGTTGAGAATCTGTTCTGAATTCTTGTATATTTATTCTTCATGTTAAAAAATCAGCCCTTCAAATTGTCACCCATTTCCTCTCAGAAAACAAACATCTTTACATTTCAACACCCTTAGTTTGTGTCATAATAGTTGATGTAACACTTAGGATAGTTGCTGAGCCATGTTAAACTTGTTAATATCCCAAATGGTAAAAACTGGCAACATCCCCATTGCTTTTAGGTTAAGATTCTCCATCGCTTTCCCTATCATGTGACTTAGCTGACTTGTGGAGCTAAGGAAGACTTACTGTTTTAAATAAGAAACAGAGCCACTGTAAGTGAAGGATTTATCCCATGTGAGATTTTGAGTCAGAAATCCTCAAAGTGAGACCCTTATCCAAACACAGGTAATGATGGGAGTCAGATTTCACGTGTGTTGTGACATGGATTCCCTTTCTTTTAGCATTATTCTAGGGAAAAAAAAACACATTTTCCCTCATTTTCTCTGAGACTTTAGGGGGCAGCATTTTTTTTTTTATCTTCGTAC